ATTTCAAAATGAATTTAACTAATAGATTGGATCTTTAGAGGTTAAAATTAAATATTGATTATGATAAACAATTTTATTTTATAATATAATTAAAAAATGTGATTTTTGTTTTGTTTTTATATAGCCGCCTAATATCTGTCTAGGCCGCGTAATCGCCCGCCTAGACCGTATAAACGCCCGTCTAAACCCCATAAACATCCGCATTTTTAAGAAACACATAAATCATCGAATAGCCTAAAATCGGAGCACCCGACATCCGTGTAGCGTCTGGACGCCCTTCTAAACTGCGTTTTAGAACACTGTAAAAAACAAATTATATTTAATCTCATGTTTGTCGTGGTTATTGTTCCTATATAAGCATTAATTGATTTATGATCTTATCAATTATTTTAGTATTTCACTCATTTTAACATTAATTGAAATACTGAAACTGTTGATAAGATCAGAAATCAATTGAGGTAGATATTAATGGTTGACTAGCAAATTAAGAATATAACAACCGTGTTTTGTTAATGTATTCTCTCACCGTCGAACAAAATTTCATGACGATATTGCCCCTACTAGTCTCGCTCGTTTAAGAGATAGACTCGTATCAGAATTTAGTTTGATGTTGGCATTAATTGTAGATGATATCTTCCAGGATATTTGACGTTAATCAGTTAAAGAGTTAGTTAATGGGTTATCGGTATAATTTGTTATAACCAATCTTTAAAAAAGTGTTAGACGCTAAGCAGATTATGACCCAATACATAGTGGCTAAAACACTTAATCGGAATCTAAACGATTTAATAGACAGTTTAAACGTTTTACAAAAATACATAATATATTAGATATATAGTAAAATATATAAAAATCATAATTTATAAATAATAGAATTTATATTGTATTTGTATTCATCATTTTATAGTAAAATATATAAAATATTACGATTTATATATAAAAAATTATATTATTTTATTATTATAATATCATAATATTTTAGGCGATAAAAATGGTAATCTCCATGGTCTATAGGTGGATACCGTCTAAACGCCACCTAGGCGGACGTTTAAAACGTTTTTTTGAACACTAGTTATAACAAAGTTAATTTTTTTTTGGTCAAAACAAAGTTAATTTATAAATAACACATATTTTCTATGATATGGTAACAGGGTTAGCACGATAATCTTTTATATTTTCATATTTTTTATTTTCTATGAAATGTTAACTTGATAAAAGATGATAATTTATGATATGATAAGTGGCTTAGCATGAAATTCTCTATGATATACGAATTTGTTTAGCACGTTAATTGTATTGTAATACTATCGGGGACGGCTTAACCTAAGATTAATAGCGTCATCGGACAGATTAGCAAATTACAAGTATCACATATTATCGTTAGCACGTCAACATTCGATATAACATATTATGATAGTTGTTAACATGTTAATTTTGTAAGAGAAGTCACACTTTTGATTTAGAATTTTATATTTTGAATGATATGATAACATAGTTAACACGATACACATAAACTTATCAGAATACCATTTTAGTTAGCATGTTAATCAATGGAGTTGACAAACCAACAAAATTTGTCAACAACAAATCTCTACCTGCCTATGGCTCAGGAGGTCATTTATGGCTCAGGAGGTCATTTATGACATTTGGAAGGAACGCAACGAGCGTATCTTCAACAACAAATCTCTACCTGCGAAGGTTTTATTCAAAAAGGTGGATAGAGGAGTTCGGAATGCATGTCTTGCTCGGTTAGACAGGCCACATTTCTCGGACTCTCTTGTTTTATGGTAACGTTTTCTTTTCTGTCTTACCTTCATGGTCTGTGACCCAAGGTCTCCTTCTTTCTTCTATGTAGTTATGTAACAGTTTCTTAGTAATACAACCAGAAATTT